TGGGCCTGGATGCAGGGGGGGGATGAGGGTGTGGGGGGCGCTGGCTGCTCACAACTGCTGGGACCCACGCGGGCACCTCCAGGCAGCTCTGATGGACAGACAGGGGCTGGCCGGGGGCAGGGCCCTTCTCCCTGCCCGCCTACAGTCCAGGACCCGCTCTCCACAGAGCAGGCCCCCTGCTGTGAGCTGCTTCCTGGCAGTGGCAGGAGCATGTACACATGTGTGTGAGCATGTGCGCATACATGCCTATATATACATGTTTGTGCCTGTGTGCACACATGTGCCTGTGTGTTTGTGTGCATGCATGTGTGTGCAGGCATGTGCACGTGTGCTTCTGTGTGTGTGTGCATGTGTTTTGTGTATGGGCACATATGAGTGTGAATGTGTGCGCATTTATGCATGCATGTATGTGCTTGTGTGCACGTGTGTGCATACATGTGCACGCGCATGCATGCATACGTGTGTGTGGGTGTGTGATGAGGTCTCTGTGCACATGGGGTGCTCAGAGGCAACTTTCAGCCTCCCCCTCCCCTAGGCCCTGCCAGAAGCCCCTCACGTGATGCCGGTTGGTCAGGACAGGCCGTGCGTGCTGCACTGCTCTGTGCTGCAGGGCTGGGTACCATCCTGCTGCTTATGGTGCTGACAGGACCGGTCATGCTAGCAGGGCTGGTATGCACAGTGGTGGTGGGGTGCAGACTCTGTGTCAGATGGCGAAACTGAGGCACGACTAGGCCGGGACCCAATGCTGTGCTGGAGCCAGGCAGCACTGATAGCACAAGGCTGGGCCAGGAGCATGGGGAGCCTGGAGCCCTACCAGGGCATAGCCGTCCCCTCCCTGTGCCCTGGCCCTTGAAATGGGGTCACTGCCCCTTGTCCCCTCCTTCTGCAGTTGATGCCCCCACCCCCACGTCCCCTGGGGGCCGGGCATAGCTGGTCCCTTGCACCCATGGGACTAGGTCTGCCCTGGTTGAAAATACAACAGCCTCCTGGGGACTTTGTGAGCTGAGTGGGGGACATCAGACCCCGTGTGTGAAGCCCCCCAGCCTCATGGCACTGACACCAGGGTCACGTGCTTCCCCCCTTGTCCCTCCAGGTGCGGCACCGGCAGTCAGGGCAGATCATGGTGCTGAAGATGAACAAGCTGATGAGCAACCGGGGCAACATGCTGCGGGAAGTGCAGCTCATGAACCGCCTCTCCCACCCCAACATCCTCCGGTGAGCCCCCGTCCATACCAGCCGGGGTCCTCCATCCTGTCCCTGCCTGCTGGAGTCCCCCACCCCATCCCCGCCAGCAAGGACAAATTTAAGATTTTGAAAAGGGAGGTGCAGAGGCCATAGTGCCTCATCACATAGACCACAGCACAGCTTTCCCTTGTTAAACAGAGACTAGAAGCTTTAATAATATGCACGGGTCCAGCGCTATAAGATCAAAGCAAAGAACAAATGCAACTTTGTTGAAACGGGGCTATATGTTAGGTTTAAGAACATAAACTAGGCAAAAAAAATGTCCATAGATAGTGTTGTCGGTCCTGGTGTTGTAATTAAAGGTACATCTCTCAGTCAGTTTGTCAAACAAGATCTAGGCCTCTCGGGCATCTTGCCAGCACCTCCAGTACTTCACTGTTAGTCACGTCTACACCAGAGTTTGTATGCCTGCCCCTCAGTGAAGGTTTTTAGTTGGAGCTAAAACCAGTCTGCAGCGCTGTGATACAGAAGAGACGTGACAGGGAATGGCAAAAGGGCAGCAGCACTGCAAAAGAAAGGAGAGGTTAAGTAGCACAACATGGAGCCCACGAAAAAGGAAAGAGGGTCATTCATGCCTGTGAAGTGGAGAGATTAGCAGGAATCAGGGAGATGGCAACGAGCCCTGAAGTCAGTTGCAGTCAGGCCTGCATAGAAATATGCTGCCTCTCCCCTGCAGCTGTTAGAGTCTGGGTGGAGCCCTAATTAAAGGGGGTTTGACTGCGCCGCTGCCCCCCTGCATTCACCCCTGGCTGCCAGGCCCTGCCCATCCCCCAGGCCTCATACTGGCCTGATCCCTGGCTGGGAACAGGGTGTATGGAAAGATGCAGCACTGGGGAGAGAGGAGGAGGATTGGTTCTGGCTGCCATCCTGCCCCAAGCTGGGGGTCTCCAGCCCCTGCCTGAGGGTGCCCGGAGCCTCTCCATGTGCCAGCCTGGCACGGTGCGGCTTTTTGGGGAGTCCTGCTGGCCTAACCCCCCACATTTCTCTTTGCCCCTCCAGGTTCATGGGTGTCTGTGTGCACCAGGGGCAGCTGCATGCACTCACGGAGGTAAGAGTGGGCACCTTGGCGGGTGTTGTGCCCACGATACAGCCCGAGGCTCGCAGGGGAGGTGCTGGGTGCAGGAAGCATGGATGGATTGTTTTGGTCATCGGTTCCCTGCTGTGGCTTGGACTGGGAGGAAGTGATTGAGGGGGGGAGGTGGCACAGGGATTGTGGGGAGGCATGGGAGGGAGGTGGGCACAACCCTGTGTCTGATGCCTGCCCCTCTTCAGTACATCAACGGAGGAAACCTGGAGCAGCTCCTGGACAGCCCAGCCCCCCTGGCCTGGCCCACGCGCATCAAGCTGGCGCTGGACATCGCCCGCGGCCTGCGCTACCTGCACTACAAAGGCATCTTTCACCGCGACCTCACCTCCAAGGTAAGGCCATGGCCTCCCCTGACCCCATCCCCAGGGCCAGGCCTGAATAGGGGGAGCTGCATGCCTTGAGGCTCCCCCTCACCTGTCCCAGTCCACAGGCAGTTTCTAAGCCATGTGGCCCTTGGAGAGCTACAGGAGCACCTCGGACCAGCTTCCTTGGAGGAGGGAGGTGGCCTTGTGTGCAGATGGCCACATGAGCTGGAAAGGGATCTTCTCCCTCCTGTTGTTGCAGATGTCAGGGGGGATTTGCCTCCCCCAGAGGCACTGGGTGCTGTCTGCAGCCCAGGCTGGGGATGAGGACTGGGCTGTGCCAATGCTTCTGCTGGCACCAACCCTGCAGGGTCCTGGCTAGAGGGTCTCGCCCCTGCACTGGGGCTTATAGTTTCATAGTTTCATAGTTGGTAGGGTTGGAAGGGACCTGAACAGATCATCATGTCTGACCCCCTGCCATGGCAGGAAAGAGGGCTGGGGTCAAACAACCCCAGCTAGGGGATTATCCAGCCTCTTTTTGAAGACCCCCAGCGTAGGAGCCAGCACCACTTCCCTTAGAAGTTGGTTCCAGGTCCTAGCGACCCTGACAGTGATGTAGCACCTCCTGATGTCTAGTCTGAACCTACTCTCAGTCAACTTGTGGCTGTTATTCCTAGTTGCTCCCGGTAGTACGTGGGGGAACAGGGACTCTCCTGTTCCCCGCAGGTGTCCCTTGGCCAGTTTGTAGACAGCCACTAGATCCCCCCTCCGCCTCCTCTTGTGAAGGCTGAGCAGGTTCAGGTCCCGTAGCGTCTCCTCGTAGGGCCTGCCCTGCTGTCCTCTGATCATGCGAGTGGCCTCCTCTGGACCCTCTCGATGCTAGCCACATCCCTCCTGAAGCACAGCACCAGTGCTGCATAGACGGGGAGGATCACCTCCTTGGACCTGCGCGAGATGCGTCTGTAGATGCACGACAAGGTGTGGTTGGCGTTCCTGACTGCGTCCCCACACTGCCGGCCCATGTTCATTTTGGCATCAATGATGACTCCAGGATCCTTTTCTGCCTCTGCGCTAATGAGAAGGGAGTTCCCCAGCCTGTAGGTGTGCTGCTGGGTCTTCCCCCGCAGGTGCAGCACCTTGCACTTGTCAGTGGTGAAATCCATCCTGTTCTCATCTGCCCACCCCTATGACCTGTTCAGATCTAGTTGTAGTCTGTCCTTCTCCTCTGGCATGCCCACCTCTCCCCACATCTTAGTGTCATCCGCAAATTTGAACAAGGTGCTTTTCACCCCCTCGCCCAAGTCACTGATGAAGATGTTGAACAGCATGGAGATGTTGAACAGTATGGGAACAACCCAAGGACCGAGCCCTGGGTGACCTCACTGCCCACATCCCTCCAGGTCAAAAATGACCCGTCCACCACCACTCTGGTTGCGGCCCCTCCGCCAATTTGTGACCCATCTGACTGTGTAGGCATCGACACAACAGTCACCTAGTTTTTTAATGAGAATGGGGTGAGAGCCAGTGTCGAAGGCCTTCCTAAAATCCAGGAAGACTACATCCACCGCGACACCTGCGTCCAAGGATGTTGTGACCTGGTCGTAGAAGGCCACCAGTCGGTCTGACAGGACCTGCCCCTAGTGAACCCGTGCTGGTTGCCCCTGTTGGCTGGCTCAGACCGATGCTGCATTAGAATCATAGGGTCCCAGAGCCGCAGGCCTGGAAGGGACCTCAGAGGTCACATCTAGTCCAACCCCTGCCTGAGGCAGGATCAACCCTGTCCCAATCACCCCAGACACATCCACTATCTGAACTCTGAGCAACACCACACAGTTACCCCTGTCACATCCCCAGGCATCACCCCTACCCCTACCCCTGCACCAGGAAAGCAGGGGGGCCACAGCCACCAACGTCCTGCTGCTGCAAAGCGGGTTCATAGATGCTCCAGAGACCCCAGGCAGAGGCTGTGCCCCGGCTGCAGAGGAAGGCAAACCTCCCCAGTCCAGACCAGTCTGACCAGGGGGAAAGTCCCTTCCTGCCCTCAGTGCAGCGGCCGGCTGAGCCTGAGCGCAGGGGCAAGACCCTCCAGCCAGGACCCTGCAGGGTCGGTGCCAGCAGGAGCATTGGCACAGCCCAGCACCCAGCACCTCTGGGGGAGGCTTAAACTTCCTGGCACCTGGGCCAGAAAGGGGGTAGAGGTGGGAGGGCCAGAAGCCTGGGAAATCCCCACAGCAGAGCACAGGCATCGCTTCACCTAGTTCATCCCCACCCGGTGGCTGCCCAACCTCTCCTTGACACCTCCAGTGATTGAGAGTCCTCGCCGTCCCTGGTGTCTATCCCACAGCTTCCCTGCTCTGACAGTGAAGACACATTTCAGTGTTACAGTGATCTGTGTTTCCTGATCTCTAAGCTAATGATACGCACTGGACTCAGAAAGGGATTTCCCTCCCTCCCCCCAGTCAGATTGGCACAGACTGGGGGGGGGGG